GCCTTGTGCAGGCAGTCTATATCCCGTTTTCACATTGCATTGTCTATAGTGATATCTTTTTTAGAGTAACACACTACTTTTAAGCCAAAATTTGATTTACTATTGTAGCTTTACCATCCATCGACTACAAATTTTTACTTCTAAATTTATTGGCAATAATATACAGATTTTCCTCGTCCCGATATTGCCGATGTCACGTTAAATATTAACTCAATCACTCACTTATATCCTATGCTGTATCCTGCACGATATCCTGTACTTTGCATGTTGCGCTCCACTGTCGACCTCTCTTTCTACCTAAATAATCTGGCAATATTTTTGGGAATATGATCATCAAGGTTAGAATGTATATATATCTAAACATACAAGAGCTGTGCTGTCAGAGATGATGATCGAGAGCTGTGCTCTCAGTGAGTGAGTGAGTGAGTTAATATTTAACGTCACATCGGCAATATTTCAGCCATATCGTGACGAGAACATTTGATATTGAAACGAAATACATCTATATCATAAAAACCTGCCGACGAAGGACAGTAAAACAACTAGAATATCACAGTTAGACATGTAAAACTAGTAATTAAATCTAAAATATATGAACTATAGGTGACAACACAATATAAAAATAGGCTATATATCGCCAACAGCTGAAGGTAAATCACCATACTAGAGACAGCTGTGCTCTCAGAGATGATGATCGAGAGCTGAATATTTGAGGGTTTCAAAATATACCTGTTCAAACAGTCGTACTTATGTTGTCATTGTCCAAGTGTTCGGTCGAGTACTAATGTCTATATGGATTATATATTGAAAATCTCCATTGGGCACTCGCATGGGGTGCTACGTAACGCGTGTGGGCACAGGAGGTAAAACGGAAACGAATTGGGCAACATGTTTACTTGGAGTCTTGTGCCAGAAAGTGTTTTCCTATTTACTTTGGCGTTGGTTTCAGTCATTATTTATTATTCTTTTGGGTAAGAGTGCAATTCATAGGGGAGATTGTGCTTCAAAAGGACTATAGTGTATCACAGATGAAGATGTAAAACTAGCATGTAACTTAAGACAAGACAATATAAAACTAGCATGTAACTTAAGACAAGACAATATAAACCTAGCATGTAACTTAAGACAAGACAATATAAAATAACAGGCTATAGATCATCAGCAACTGAAGATATATCACAATACTAGCGAGTGTGTGAGTTAAAACGGACGATAGTGTATCGCAGATAAAGATATAAAACTAGCATTAACTTAAGACAAGACAATATAAAATAACAGGCTATAGATCATCATCAACTGAAGGTAGATCGCAATACTCCTTCACATGCTACATTCACTGTCAGCACCCCTACTTCACATGCTACATTCACTGTGACCACCCGTCCTTCACATGCTACATTCACTGCCCCCACCCGTCCTTCACATGCTACATTCACTGCCCCCACCCCTCCTTCACATGCTACATCCATTGTCCACACACCTATTCCACATGCTACATCCAATACCCCCACCCCTCCTTCACATGCTACACTCACTGTATACACACCTCTTTAATATGCTACATTCACTGTCCCTACCCCTCCTTCACATGCTACATTCACTGCCCCCACACCTCCTTCACATGCTACATAAATTGCCCCCGCTCTCCTTCAAATGCTACATTCATTGCCTCCACCCCTCCTTCATATCCTACATTCACTGCCCCCACCCTTCCGTTACATGCTACATTAACTGTGACCAGCCATCCTTCACATGCTACATTAATTGTCCCCACACCTCTTCCACATGCTACATAAATTGCCCCCGCTCTCCTTCAAATGCTACATTCATTGCCCCCACCCTCCTCTTCACATCCTACATTCACTGCCCCCAATCATCTTCCGTTACATGCTACATTAACTGTGACCAGCCATCCTTCACATGCTTCATTAATTGTCCCCACTCACCTCTTCCACATGCTACATAAATTGTCCCTGCCTCCTTCACAATGCTACATTCATTGCCCCCACCCCTCCTTCACATCCTACATTCACTGCCCCTCACCTCCGTTACATGCTACATTAACTGTGACCCAGCCATCCTTCACATGCTACATTTCACTGTCCCCACACCTCTTCCACATGCTACATAAATTGCCCCCGCTCTCCTTCAAATGCTACATTCATTGCCCCCACCCCTCCTTCACATCCTACATTCACTGCCCCCACCCTTCCTTCCACATGCTACACTCACTGTCCCCACCCCTCCTCCACATGCTACATTTTCTGCCCCCACCCCTCCTTCCCACATGCTACATTCACTGCCCCAACACCCTCCTTCACATGCTACGTCCACTGTCCCATACCTATTCCACATGCTACACTCCACTGCCCCCACCCTCCTTCACATGCATGCTACATTCACTGTCCCCACCTCCTCCTCCACATGCTACATTCACTGTCCCACCAATCCCCTCCTTCACATGCTACATTCACTGCCCCCACCACTCCTTCACATGCTACATCCACTGTCCCCACCATTCCTCCACATGCTACACTCACTGCCCCCACCCCTCCTTCACATGCTACATTCACTGTCCCCACCACCTCCTTCACATGCTACACTCACTGCCCCCACACCTCCTTCACATGCTACACTCACTGTCCCCACACCTCCTTCACATGCTACACTCACTGCCCCCACCCTCCTTCACATGCTACACTCACTGTCCCCACACCTCCTTCACATGCTAACATCCTTCACTCCTCCACATGCTACAGTCACTGCCACCACACCTCCTTCACATGCTACATTCACTGTCCCCACCCCTCCTTCACATGCTACATTCACTGCCCCCACCCCTCCTTCACATGCTACACTCACTGTCCCCACACCCTTCCCTTCCACATGCTACACACTCACTGCCCCACACCTACCTCCTTCATGCTACATTCACTGTCCACACCTCCTTCACATGCTACACTCACTGTCCCCACCCTCCTTCACATGCTACACTCACTGTCCCCACCACCTCCTTCACATGAGACGATCTCTGGCGACTTCTGAGATAGATTTGATTGTGACGACATTACTTTACGAGGATTTATTTAGCCACGACGCGAGATGGTAGAGACGATGAACTTTACTTTGAGAAAAGATGACTATCTTGATAATTCGAGATAGAGACGATGAGCCACATTTTTCTGAGGTGAGATGATGAAAGACATGATTTATAGAGACATTGTTTTATGAGAGATGCAGAGATGACGAAAGACATTTCTTTATGAGCAGCAGGACATTGTTTACTCTGAGATTTATTGTTTTACGCAGACGATTATGCTTTACATTTTATAGAGATGATATTATGATGAGAGAGGTGAGATGATGAATTTACGAGAGGATGATAGGCCTGAGATGAGATAGGAGACGATGAGTTACGATGAGGATAGAGATGATTGTTTTAGCGAGAGAAAGAGACGACATTTCTTTTGAGCCGATGAGATGATGAGTTATTTACTTCTTTATAGAGATGATGAGCCTTGAGACGCGAGAGGCAGGATGATGAGCATGACGAGAGAGATGATGAGCCGAGATGAGAGATGATGAAAGCATGATGAGAGATGATGAGCCGAGGATGGATGAAAGGATGAGAGAGGATGAGAAGAGATCGACGAGACGGATGCCGATAGCCGAGATGATGATGAAATGCCGACGAGATGAGATGATGATGAGCTGACGAGAGATGAAGAGTGATGAGTGGAGAGTGGAGGAGGAGGATGATGAGGATGGAGGAAAGAGAGGGATGAGATGAAGGAGAGGAGGAGGAAGGAGGAGGAGGAGAGGAGGAGGAGAGGAGGAGGAAGAGGAGGAGAGGAGGAGAGTGGAGGAGATGGAGGTGGAGGGTGGAGGAGGAGGAGGGATGGAGGAGGAGGAGGAAAGAGGAGGAAGGAGGAATGGAGGAGAGGTGGAGGAAGGAGAGGAGAGAGAGGAGAGATGGAGGAGAGGAGGAGAGATGGAGGAGGAGGAGAGGAAAGGTGGAGGAAAGGAGGATCACGACCAGCCCGAGAGACGACACGACGCAGAGACGATTGCTCGAGACGAGACGACACGACGACTTCGACAGACGACACTTTGACTTCAGATGACGACGAGCCACGACAGGATCGATCCACGAGGAGACGAGAGACGATCCCGACGAGAGACGAGAGACGATTACGACTTCATGAGATAGGACGATGAGCCCTGACGATGAGCCGGAGACGAGAGAAGAGATGATGAGACTGAGGAGATGATTGTCGAGATAGGACGATGAGCCTGATTTTTCTGAGAGAGACGATCCTTAGACGAGGACGACAGCCACGACAGGACGACGAGCCACACTCTTCTTTGAGGATGACACATGACGAGAGACGACGAGCCATTTATTTTCTGAGATGACGAGTTATTTATTTTTCTTGAGATGACACACACTGAGATAGAGACTGACACATGAGGCAGGATTACGAGACAGAGACCATTACTTTACCTTGATGAGAGACGATTATTCACGACGAGATAGAGATGATGAGTTACGACGAGATAGAGACGATGAGTTACGACGAGAGACTTATTGTTACGACGATGAGAGGAGGATGACAGCCTTTACTTGAGAAAGAGACGATGAGCTTTGAGAGACGTGAGATAGAGATGATGAAAGCACATTTTTCTATGCAGAGATGATGATCTTGAGATGAGATAGAGATGATGAGATTTTCTTAGGAGAGATGATGAAACATTACATGAGAGAGATTTATTGTTTTGATTTTATAGAGATGATATTTTGGATTTATAGAGATGAAAGAATTTTTCTTGAGAGTAGTGAGGATGATGTTTTGAGATGAGATAGAGATGATGAAAGATGATGAGAGAGATGATAGAGCTTTTATGAGAAAGAGATGATGAAAGATGATGAGAGATGATAGCATGAGAGTAGAGATGAGGAAATGGATGAGATGAGATGATGAAAGAGGAGTTTGAAGGAAATGGAGGAGGAAATGGAGAGAGATGAGGAAATGGAGAGGAGGAGATGGATGAAGGATGGAGAGGAGTGGAATGGAAGAGGAGATGGATGGGAAATGGAGAGGAGGGAGGAGGAAAGGAGGAAAGGAGGAATGGAAGGAGATGGAGGAAAGATGGAGAGGAGAGGAAAGGAGGATGGAAAGGAGGATGGAGGAGTGGAGGAAGGAGAGGATGGAATGGATGGAGGATGGATGGAGGATGGAGGAAAGGAGAGTGGAGGGAGGAGAGGAGGAGAGGAGGATGGAGAGGAGGATGGAGGAGAAGGAGGTGGAATGGAGAGGAATGGAGGAGGAGGAAAGGAAATGGAGGAAGGAAAGGAATGGATGGAGTGGTGGAGGAAGGAGATGGAGGAATGGGAGGAGAT